GATGAATGCTTCCCGCCAAACCATCCTCTACATAAACTATTCAATAGGAACAACCTTAAGGTAAGCTACAGCTGTATGCCCAACGTGCACAATATCATCACGGCGCACAACAGAACCGTACTCGATTGCAAGCAGCCCGAGGCAACTAAAAATCCCGATAGGAAGTGCAATTGCCGCCAGGAAGAATCCTGCCCCCTCCCTGGCAAATGTTTAACCGAAAGCGTTGTGTACCAGGCCACAGTGACCAGAGAAGACAACCACCAGAAAGAAACCTACGTTGGACACACAGCGGGCCCATTTAAAGTGAGATATTATAACCATACAAGCTCGTTCAGGAACCCGGAACATAAACATTCAACCGAACTGAGTAAATATATTTGGCAGTTGAAACAATCCAATATACAATACTCTATCCGCTGGAATTTTAAAGAAATGTAAGGCCTACTCAAACAAAACAAAACGTTGCAAATTATGCCTGCACGAAAAGTTTATTATAATTTACTATCCCAAATTAAGCTCTCTGAACTCAAGAAACGAACTAATATCCGCATGTAGGCACAGGAAAAAATTCCTGCTTTGCAGCCAATAGCTCAGGTTACAGACATAGGTTCACGCTTTCCTGATGACGTCAAACATTTTTTATATAATAGCTAAAGTTACCTATAGGTTATAACATCATGTAAATACGCGATATCATCATTCACCTGATGAGTGTGGCAAGCTTAGTTTGCCATACGAAACAAATTTGTCGTGAATAAGTGTTTTAAACGAAGTAACTCAAGTTTGTCTTTCATTTGCTCTACTTACGTATCGAGCACTCTATTCGTATGATTCGACACTCAATATACTTATTGACATTCACCTATATATATATATATATATATATATATATATATATATATATATATATATATATATATATATATATTTATATATATATATATATATATATATATATATACCCTGTATATTATATTATATACCCTGTATAATTGTTTATTCTAATTAGCTGTTATTCTCATGTAAAGAATACTAATGAGACGGCATCTGATAAAACACTCCTACTCGTGTTTTAAATAGTACATATAACATGCGAATTTTTGTGGATAATACAACTACTTGAAAAATACAAACATATACTGGCACTTATCGTTCGGAAATAAGATAACATACGTAAGAATATTGACGTTCTGTTTCCTGTCTTGCTTTGCTTTTTTTATAAGTTAATTTATGTTATGTGTGACAGCTTCTTGCTCTTAGTTTTGGTTATACGGCTGTTGAAGGGTTTAGGGTTCGTACCACCCGAAGAAACAGTACATGTCTCTAGATCGATACAGATCACAATATTTTACAAAACCGGATTTTGTTTCATCTAGATCATAGAAGTGTACAGCAAATTATTTTGTAATTTCCGTCCTCGACATGCTGTTAATTCGTTTGTTTAAGACATTATCTTATTTTGTGAAGACAGAGCATAAGGAGAATTGAACTATTAATCAATGTCCATATAATACCATAAATAATAGTGATCTTTATTACTCATGTTATGTTTAATAATTCGTGGTTTAAAATATTTTCCAGACCTAAAATATTTCCAACTTGACATCTTTGATACATTTTCCGGTTTTCTGTCATCAATTTTCCCTCTGAATTTGCCCAATTTTATATACAAACATCAAAAAAAAAAAAAAAAAAAAAAA